CTTAGATATAAAACTCGAGGGACATTTGCATCTTGTGACTCTATAAAATATTCAACAGGAAATGGAGATAGAAAGAAAGGGCTCAACTACAATAAAGGAGGAGATGTCCCAAAGTAAATATACATAGGGGCGGCCAAGCGAAGCACCTTTAGCCTCTTTGCTTTAGAAACAACAAGTGCAATTCTGTACTCACTCCAAGAGGGACCTCCTAGCAGTAAAGACCTTTCCATGTTCTGGAGGTGCTCTCAAGCCCCTGTGAAGAGGGAGGAGACTATTAAAGACAAAAATTTTAAGACAGGAAGGTTGCAGGAAACTTAACTTCACCTAGGGACCAGCTTACTTGGTTTTGTGCAAGTCTTTCTCTGAGCAGGTAGCTGGGAAAATGGACGTTGCTGTGGAGGATTCCAGAAACACGGACTTTGCTATGAAACTGTTCACAAACTCTGTAAAGTGACTGTCCACCTCCTTCATGAATGCCGGCTTCAACTGCTAATAAAGTGGAAACAGAGCAAGACGTTAAAACCTTCAAGGGTCTTTTCATGTCACTAGCATTAGCTAAAAAGGTTGAGCTATGAAACACTACCATGAATTGTGCTAACCAAAGAAAAACCAAGGTAAAGTCAGAGGCTTACTGAACCTGTCCACATAGGGCTTTGAATAATGGTTATTCACTTTTTCTTTGATACGATGCAGAAGAAAGTTACTGATATTCTGACTAAAGAAGGTAAAAAGTAAAAATTTGGAGTGGCATGGATCTCTTGTAAGATCTGGAACCAAGTTTAATGAAACCTCCTAGAAAAAAAGCCCTGTATTCATACAGTGTTACACACTTAAACCTCTTTAATCCAGCAATCCTGGGAAACAAGGTATGCCAGAGTAAAGATTTTGCTGGGCCAGGGAGTGAGAGATATGGAGGTGGGGTGCTTACCTTGCACTCCACTCCTAGGGGCACACATGACTCCATGCCCCTTCCAGGCACTACCCCCTGCCACTTATGGGAACAAAGGAGAAAAGTCCCAGGGGAAGCATGATGCTGTGCTGATCTTCCCCCAGCTAGGGGGGAAGGGAAGAGCAGCTTCCTCCTCCAAACTATGGATGTTCCCAGATTACAGACCCACAGTACAGAGGTTCAAGTGTATCATATTTAAAGACAAGAGTGTCAGAATGGGTATATACAGTGTAACATTAGGGTGTCCATGTTATACTATGCCTTTTGCTTCCATAGTTTTTATATTTAACCACCTGTTTGAGACATTAAGAAGTCACATACTGATTTCTCACATAACAAAATAGTTCCATCTAGTCTTCAAATTTTACACCCTCCCAAAATGAAGGGGAGAGGGGGAGGAAGACATGAATTCACACCTGTGTGACTGCCATTGTTTGGCTAGAGGCAGTTTTCTGCATGGCTGTAATGACAGGAAAACATGTGAAAATGTGATAGATGAAACAAAAACTAAAGAAAGCAGTGCCTCTGGGAGGATTCCCAATACTGAGCCCTCCAATTTCCATGAGATTCAATAGGAACTAAGGGTTTTTCACACCTTGCAAGGATAAGCCCTTTGATTTGATTGTGAAAAAATTATGCCACTTATATTTCTTTGATACTTATCATTTCCAGTTAAAGTATTCTTGCTTGCTAGGCCAAGATGCTAGCATTGTACTGTCAAAAGGACAGAGCTGACTGGGTATGTCATTAGAACATAGAATCATAGGACTGGACAGGTCCTTAAGAATAGAGTTGTAACGAGTTAACCATTTGCATAGTTAACCGATAAGCCTGGACTTATCTGTCACCGTGGACTGTTACATGCAGGTTCCTGCCCTGCTTCCGGGGAGTCAGCTGCCACCCCGTTATGCTGACTTTATATCAGAACCCATAGCATGGGGTGGTAGCCAGCTCCGTAGGAGCAGGGCAGCAGGGGGGAGCTGCTGCTGCCTCGGATACATTTCCATTTTTCTATGGATTCCAAGAAAAGACGACAAATTAGACAAGGCATGAAATACTACTGTAATAAGCAATCCTAAAGCAGAAAAGGGGTACACTGTATCTTCCTTTTTGGGATAATTTTTACCAAAGTAACACATCTAGGGAGATGCATTCCTAGATACTAGTAATGAGTAATGAGAAGGAAAATAAAACCAGTCAATTTAAGTGAACACTGAGCTTAAGATTAATTCAGTTATGAAGAGTCGAGATGTGATTGTATGAAAATGAAGATGCTTTAAAATAAACCAACAAGCAGAATGATAGTGCTGCATGTTTCTTGGAGAGAGTAAGCCTTCTCTCCACAGAGAGATCTTTCCACTGCTCTGCTCAAAACAAATTGCAACTGTTAATGTTTAGCTTACTGAAAATATTTGCTCACTAGCCACCCTGGGAACAAATACATTTCTCCAGCACTGAGACATTTCCTCAAAGTTTCTTTCTGGCCTTGGAAATTGCTTCCACTCATTCACTAAAAAAAGGGGGCTTTTAATATTTAGCAAAGGATATCTGGATTTGTCTTTTTAAAAGCAGAGGGTGAGAAGAGGATTTAGTCAAGCAGGGATTATAGCTGAGACTAGTGTTGATACCAGAATGCTAAAGCAAGATACCAGAAATGTATTTCAGGGTATTAAAATACACTATATCACCTTCTCTATTCCCCAAGAAGCAAAGGATGGACGATAAGGAAAGAATCCTCATGAGGGTTACCAAAGTCAAATGAAATTTACCCTGGCACAGTACCAGATAGGTGTGTCAGCTCCAAAGGCCAGGTGCATTAGGATATCACTCCTTATGCCCCAAGGACTGCCCTCTCATATTGCCCAACCTCCTCCCACACACTTATATGATCTACTAATGTCACTAGGGACAAGGAAAGGAGGAGTCTAGGTAGTTGGTCTTGCAATAGCGGTTTCTCCCAAGTCTGCCTCATGGGTCGCAAGGCAGATATTAGAAAAGCTTTGCAACAGGAAACCAGACACATACCCTGAGTTCTCAGCATGTTCCTTCTGGATCCCCATAATCAAAGGGAAAGAACTTCTCTCTCCATACAAAAATGCTGGGAAGCACCACCCAGTGCACCCAAATAGTGAATGTGTAGCTCTGCCCCTCTCTTTCTGCCTCAACTTAGCAATGAGCTGGAAAGAGGGAATTTGGCCAATTTCCCTAAAGGCAGTGGTCGCCTACCGGTAGATCTTGGAGCCTCCGACAGGTGAACCTGACTGGTTTGGCCAAGAGGCTATCAAATGCCAGCGCTTCAGCTGCCCCTCTCCCCACTGCTGCACATCTCTCACCATTTGCCTTGGAGCTGCCTCCCTCCACCCCCGGGAGCTACTTGCTTGCTGAACAGAGCAGAGAAGGGAGAGAAGGGAGCTGATGTCAGGATGCCCTCCCTCTCACCCTGTATCCTATTTCCACAGAGCAGGGCAGGGGGCACAACAGGACTTGGGAGGGAGTTTGCTGGCTGCCTTTGGGAGTGGTGCGGGGCCAAGACAGGGGTGAGCCTGCCTTAGCCCCGCTGCCCTCACCATCCAGGAGCCACCTGAGATAAGCAGGGCCCTGTCGGAGCCCACATCCTAAAACCCTACCCTAGTCATGAACCCCCTCCTGCATCCAGGCTCCTGCCCTAGTCCGGAGCAACCCTGAACCCTTTCAGAGCCTGCACCTAGAACCCCCTCTGGCACTCCAACTGCCTGCCCCAAGGTCAGCGCAGAGCCCCTCTCACACTCCAAATCCCTTAATCCAAGACCAGAGCCTGCAGCCCAACCACTGTCCCTGCCTGGTGAAAGTGAGGGAGGATGGGGGAGGGAGGAAAGATGCAGAGAGCAGGGGCGGGGCCTGGAAGAAGGAGCACAAAGGAGGCAGGGCAAGGGTATTTGGGTTTGAGGTAGATCCTGGATTGCACTTAAATTCAAAAAGTGATCTCGTGCTTTAAAAGGTTGGAGACCCCTGCCCTAGGGCCAGCCAGCTCATTAGTTCAGGGGAGTGCAGGGAGACTATGGGAATTCCAGTGCTGAGACTATGGGAATTCCAGTGCTGAGGCTCTTCTCAGTTCCCACAATCTCTGACACTGCTTCAATCCCCTATACCTCCTTGCCCCTTAACTGGTTTAGGAAAGATACAAGGATCTTTCCATCTTCTTCCTGAAAGGTCATCTAGTCAGCTGGGGTGGGCATCTGTTTGAACCAGGTCTAACTGGCAGTGAGAGTACTTGCAATAAGGTCTGTTGGTCCTTTAAGCATGCTGGAGAGATGGCAAGTTGAGGTGATAAGTTGAGAACAATTTCCTGCATCAGGCTAAATCTTCAGTCCCTGTAGAATGCAACGGTCCATTTCAGATGGATTTAATACCAGGATGGTCATGTGCCTGCCACATGTTGGAATGCAGACAAGTTATATTTATTTCTCAATTATATATCAATATGCCTTTGCCATTATTGGTTATTTACATTTACACAAGATCTTTCAAATCTACTGAAAGCAAAGAAACCATGAAGTGAAAAATAAAATGTGTGTAAGTGCAGTATAGAGGAGTCCTATGTCCCTCCCCTACTGTCTGAATCTGTAAGTGGGACATCAGGAGTTCCTTGCTGCTCCTTCAGATGCAATTCCTGATTAGGCATCAGTGTTCCAGAGAGAACAAGAGGGAAATGGAACAAGCTAGGTTTAGCCAGGCCAGTGCTCTAGGGAGCACACTGTGCTCACATTCCAATGGAATGCTGCTATGGGTCCAAAAGTGAAGGAGTTAAAAAACTAAGGTGGTGGAACAAACAAGCAGAGTTCAAGTTATGACTCATTCTCCTGCTCACTACAGTATTTCTTTGTCTGCTTACTAAACAGTCAGCTGACTATAAAGTGCTGTGGTAGCAGCTCCCTACTGACTCCCAACATTGCGGGTCTCACTGTGGGCATCAACTAGTCCAGAAAAAACTGGATTTATAAATATGAAACTTAAGCACTCTCTCAATTAAAGTGTCTGTTGCAGTTTCTAGCTGCCAGATGTGAAGCATGACCTCAAACTGAGATTTTGAGCTATAGCTCTATTTGTCTGAAGGATTCCTTCTTTAGTCTAACTACTCTGTAATATTTTAATTAATAATCAAACACAGTAATCAGATCATTTTCCTCAATGGTATCTGAGATTAGCAGTTTTCCCCATACTCAGAATAGGGAACAGACACTGTGGCAGAGTTTGAGTCAATGGCTTCTGCTATGCATATCCAAGTTGCTGACAACAGCTGAAGACCTTAGCTAAAACCTGACTAAGGCCAAATTTTAAAATAAGAGAAGCTTTAGTTAAACACAAGATATATATTATCTAGTTTCTTATAGTAAAAGGACAGTGTGTTTTAGGTACTGATGTCTCAGGTTCAAAGTTTTCAGCCAATAGTTTCCCAAAGCCCATTTAGACAATGTTTAATAAATCACTTACAGTTAAGAGAGCTAGTCAGATGTCCAGTCACATGTAGCACACAGTTTTAGACAAGAGAATTAGGTCATTG